ACCACGACGTTTCAGAACCCGAAATTTCGGAACCACGACGTTCGAGGACTTTTCTGCGTTCTGAAATGTTGGGTTCTGAACGTCGTGGTTCTGAAATGTCGGGACCTGAAACGTCGCGGTTCTGAAACGTCGGGTTCTGAATCATCTAGGAGCCGCTTAGAAGCCACGTGGATTCACTCTAGCTTCTTGAAACATCCCCTAAACTCTAACGTCTTCTAGGCCTCGCTCAACTCGCTCTCCACAACATGTTCTGCTGCTCAGATGGCTGCTCAGACTCAACACACAGCTCCATCGCGTGCCGATCCATTTGGAGACGACTTCTTCCGATAAGTCGCTAATTCCAACTAACCCCTTCATCATCTTCAAATGACCTCATGTTGCCATGTAACACCAGCACCCACCTTTATTTTTGTCTTTGTATCCATCCTTGTGTGTAAATTGTAAAGTTTTGCCTTCAAGTCCCCCGCCCATATCCCTATTCTATCCTTGTTTTACCATTCAGTTTTCTTTATTTTTCTTATTTTTCGCATACCCTCTCTAGACCGGTGACCATCATTTCACACAACCCCAAAAGCCTCCCTTAAAACATTTCTTCCTGTTTCATTTCTTTTTTCCCAATTTTTGAAATTTTCGAAATTCGTCCATATTGCCTTCTTCCTCTTTTCTAACCCTGTCGTCTATGCCTTCCTTCCTTCCCCAATATCTTTGTATCATTCTAATTTTATATATATATTTTATTATCTATATATTGCATCCAATGGACCATCCAACCCCTTCCCCCATGTGATATTTCATCGCTTTCTCCTCCTGTCTATAGACCCCCTATTCTTTACAATCGCCAATATCTTTCTCACCTCTTTCCTAAAACCCCCCTTATCATCATCCGCGCCTTACGTTGTTTCCCCCAACAACAACGTTGAAAAATAAAACAGTTTTCTGTAAAAAATTCTTGATTCTTTCTTTTGTCCTACTCTCTTCCTCTCACTTCCCTCTTCCTCCCTCTTCTGAATCGAGCAACGCAAGGAAGAAGCATGCAGAAAACAAATGGAAACATCTACAGTATGTTATTTGTGTGGTCATGCAATTAGTGGGTGTGGTGCAAGTGATTTTTGTGAGTGACAGTGAAATTAGAGAGCTTGAAGTATGTAAGAAAGATATGTACATAATATTAGTTAGTGATAATTGCATTAATATTAGGTTTAAGAAAGGCGGCAGCGTCTAGATCCGTTTTCAGTTCGGCTTACTCCAGGCACGATGTTGAGCTCGGGCCGATCTGTGCAGGGTCTCTCCGGGAAGAGATCTCTTCGGGAAGGAATTTTTCGAATCCTGGCGTATGTCCTAGATGCTGATTGTGAGTAGCTTTGAAAAGTGCTCCAGAATCTTGATCGGCTCTGGAGAGAAAACCTGACTGACTGCTGTCGAGGCTTCGTAGTAGTGCGCCTTGAAGTTCCGTATGCGCCTCAGGACATCATAGACTTCCCATCCGTTGTACTTGGAAACTACTGAAGCAATGACTGTGCACAGTTTTGTCTTGAAGCTACGTCCAATCACGTCGTTCGAATCCATTTCGATGAGAACACGTTCTGGAACATTGGCGAGTTTCAGACTTTTGAACTTCTCCGAGACGGCTTGGATGTAGTCCAGCTTCAAATCGTCGCTCCAAAAGTATGGGTGACGATTTATAAATTTGGCTGGAATCTTGGCAACGTCTGGATCCGTCAATCGTGCGACGAGATGCTCGGCTAGGAAGTGGCCTGCAATCATATATTTAAAAGATAGAAGATAATGAGATAATAATGTAATAATAATAATAATAAAGATGTAAACTTACATGATTCCTTCTGAGCCACTTCCACATCCCATGGTCTGACATCCCATGTTGTCTTTTTGTACTCTTTCCAATCCTGAGCTGTTTTTCCAGGATCCGTGAGGCAGAACTAACGAGTTTGGCGAAACCTCGAAGATCCTCATCCTATGGCATGCCAGTTGGGCTCGGCTGCTTCACCGAGTGGCCTAAATTCGTTATGACAACCTTCACATTCCGATTCCGACCTCTCGAAAGCAAAATATTGCTCGGGCTCATGTTGTTGAGCGTGATTTGGCAGTGGTGAAGCTCTGCCAAGCCTTGTGACACCCCATCCAGAACTTCTCCCACTTTGATCTCGATTTTTTCCTGGAGATCCGGCGTCCGGATAAAGTCGAACAGGTTGGCCTCGAACAGCTCGAGGACAACACAAAATCGCGTGCCCTGAACTTCTGAATACGCCGAGTGGATGATGTTTTGATGGCGGCCGACGTCCCGAAGGTTCTCGATTTCTCTTTTGGCATACTTTGATGACGACTCCAGATATGCTCGAACCGCCACATCCATTCCGTTGTACTTTGCCAATTAAAGTGGTCCGTAGATGCTTTTTCCTCCTCCTCCAATTCTTTTTTCCTCATGAATTTGAATTTTATATGAAGAGCTTGGTGGAAAATGGCTCTTATCCGTCTTCGATGAGGTGTTTTGAGAGTTGGAAGTGCTTGGAGTAGTCATCTTTGGCTCGCGATTTCAGAAGTCGTTTTTTTCAGGATTTTTTGTCTCCAGTTTTATTCGGCCTACCATTTTGGTTTACCAACTCTTCTCATCATTTTTAGCCGCCAATTCGCATCTCGTCTCCTAAATTGTTAGTTTCTTTGCCCGTTCCCTGGAACCCTGCCTAGAATGCTCTAATAGCCAAACCGTAAACATTGAGCTCAATTATCTCGGCTCCTATAAGAGATATCGAAAAATTATCAACTGATAAAATGTTTCTGATATTATGATAAACGTTTTATCAGTTGACCACTGTTTGATATCTTTTACAGGAAATGAGTTGATTGACCTCAAAGTGTCAGTATGTGATAACCTTCAACTAGAGTGTTTACGGTAGATTTGTACAATCAAGCTGTCATGTATGCTGCACCTATCCAGTTCCACCTAGTGGCCATCGGAAAAAAAATTGATTGAAACTCTCTAATTTTACTTCAGGCCTGTCTCGAAAAGCGTGCGGACACGGGTAGAGGGGGACTGCCGAAAAACGGGCCGTCTGGCGGGCGCGGACTGCCGAAAAGCGAACAGTCGGCAGTCGAATCGCGCGCCGCCGACGGTCCGTCTGTAACGATTTACGACTCGAAGACTGACCGTCTATAATGATAGCGCTTTCTTGGTAGTTCATCATTAAACAGCTAATAAGCAATAGAAATTCTTTATTTAACTAATAGTTTCTGTGGATTGTGTATTGTATTGAAAGAAATATCTCCGATTTTTTCAAAGTTGAATTTTTATGAGTAGAATGAGAGAAAACAAATAAGAAATTACAAGTTCTATGGGGAACAGAACTTCGATTTTCTATTTGTGTGTTTCGCAAAATTCTAACTTTATAAAAATTCAACTTTTAGAATGCGAAGATTTTTTTCTTTCCTTCCGTTATTTTTTCCATAATCGTTTCTCGACTTCAATTTCTTTCGGTTTTCAGCATTTCTCTCATTGAACAGTATTTTCCGCTTTTATATGACTTTCTTTCAGAATAAGTAAAATTGATGAGTTCGTAACATGAATTGAGCACTAAAAACTGGCAAAAATTTTTTTACATTTTTAAGGCTCAGTGGCATTTTTAGCAGAGACTTCAAAAGTTCGACATATCGCATGTGATATTTTTAAAGCCGGTCAGAAGCAGAAAAAGCAACAAACTTTCGTATAATTTTTTATGTGCGAACCTTGCAAAGCTGTTACTTTCCATAGCACTTGCAAAACATCACACTTGCGAAGTGTCTTGCAAAATGACTTCATAACTTTCTTTCGCGGAGCTCTGTCTGAAATACAGTAGCTCTCAAAGATTTATTCAGAAAAATCGAATCAAGGAATTTATTCAAGAAAACAATTATTTAAATGATTACAGAAGATTGTGAAATTATCAAAAAAACCAATCAACAATTTTGAATTCAAGTTCACATTTTCCATCAGATAGTCCAAGTATTCTGAATCCACAGTCCCTCTTCTGATAGAAATCTGATGATATTCTTTCTGGAGTGATATTGCTAAATACTTCCTGATTTGTTCAGAAGCAAGTTGATCATTGTGGAACTCGACAATGATCTTTTTTGGTTTGAAAATGTATGTAGCATGATCCCAGAATTGAAGACAAGATTCTAAACCATTTAATGTTTCGAAGTCAAAGAAGGCGTTGAACATCAATCTGAAATTACTACTTAATTCTGATTATTGTCTAATATGCTTACTGCCATGAGACGAGTATGTTGTTATATCTAGTAGACCGTCGACGTATTATTGTAAGAAAACACGAGTCCCCTTTTGCGACTCGGATTATTTTTATCTCTGGATGCCATGCCCAATGTATATAAATAGATTCTACATGGATGTTCATGTTCTTCACTAGCGACTTCATTTTATCTGAACATAAAAAAAAACTATTTTGTTTGTTTCGAATCATAAAAAACTGAGAAAACATTTTATGATACTTTACCTTAAGTTTTGGAATATTTTTCCATAACAAAATTTTCCAAAACAATTTTAAAAAAACTTACATTTCGCGAGTGGACATCAATTGTAGTGTGAGCTCGAAAACCAGTCGGGGTAATCGGAATAATTTAAAAGTTTTCTTCGCCATTGAAAACAACTAATAGATATGGGAAACTATGTCACTGTTAGAACTCTGATCCTGTAGGGTCAGAAGTCAATAAGAATTGATTGTTTCGTAGTTTCCCACAGGATGAAACAAATCGATGGGATGCACCCAATTCAAATGATCCCTCCTTTTTTGTTGGCGTGTTTTTTGTGCAAGAGAAGGTTTAGGTCGTAAATCAGGTGACAAAACAAAACATTCATTCACAAATCACAAAAAAACGAAATAGTTGAAATAAGTCAGACGGAGCTCTGTCTGAAATACAGTAGCTCTCCAAGACTTATTCAGAAAAATCGAATCGAGAAATTTATTCGAGAATCACAAAAATTGAACTGATTACAGAAGGTTGTGAAATTATCAAAAAATGGGTTTCCAGAGGATAATGAACAAGCATGCTTCAGTTTATTACAGTTTCAGAATTAGGTACAGTTAATATTATAACAGCAATTGATTATTGATCATCATATATTCCTAATCGAATGAATTCATTACAAATTGTATCCAGTTCGGTTTCAATTGCTTCTTTCTCGAGTCATGTATCTCTTATTTTCTGATCCCGAATATACGTATTCCAATTCTTCAAACATTCTTTTTCGATTGTTATAATTTCGGTTTTTCTCTTCTCCAGATCAATTTTCTTTTCTTTCAACTTCAACGAAGAAACTACATCATTGAAATATTATTGGCGTTCAAATACCTCAAATGAAATGGTTCAAGACTCATAATCCAATACAAGTGTTCCGATTGAAAACTTCTTTTTCTGATTCTCAGTACCCATGCTGAAACGTCTAGACTTTCATATGATCGCTGTCTTTATGATTCTGAAATATTCCACTGAATAAAAGTTGTCAAGAATTTCACTTTTTTCTTCCTCATGACATCCATGCCGTCCCTTTTTCTTCGACTCTTCCCGTCCACAACTCAATTCAAACTAATGTATGTATCTCTGAAAAAAATGGTCCATTCTTCTACAAACGCCCCGAAAAAAAACTTCCTTCCAATATGACAGCTATCGTAAAAGTTTCGTTAGGAAACACGAGTTAAAAGGAGACACAAACGAGTCTCTTCGGATGATGGCACCGCCCATCCGGCTAAAATAGAGAAGTGAGAAAGGATTTAGAGAAGAGACTCATCGTCACACAATTTTCACACATTCCCTCAGTAGTCAATTTTAGTTTTTTTTTGTGGATGACTGGAAACGATCACTTGAATCGTCCACTTTGAGCTGAATTATCTTGATTCCAGTTAAAGATATCAACAATTTGTCAACTGATAAATTGTTTATCATAATATCACTAACATTTTATCAGTTGACATATTTTTGAAATCTTTTACGGGAACCGAGAAAAATAAACTCAAACTTGGCAGTGTAGATACCCTTCAATCACAGGTGGTAGATGTGAATTAATTTTTCATGTTTTTGGAAAACTTTCAAACTTATCCGTGATGACTTTAGGATCTCAAAATTGACAATTCCAGGCTAAAAACAAGAGAATTTGACTTAAAAACTCCAATATGAAACTATGTGAGTTGAGCATATTGAACAAAATTTCGGTCTCAAAAAAAAATTAATTTACCTTATTTCCTCTAATAGAAGACCACTCAAATCGGAAACTTTGAGCTCAATTATCTCGATTCCTGTAAAAGATATCAAAAATTTGTAAACTAATAAATTGTTTATCATATATCAAAAATATTTCATCAGTTGACCAATTTTTGATATCTAGCACAGGAGGGTGGTCTTCTATTAGAGGGAATACGATAGTGAGGTTCTGGAAAATCTGGAATTTCAAAACCTGGTTGTTTTACTGTAAAAATGGAAATTTGAATTAAAAAATTGAAGAAAGAACAGTTTCTGAAAATCACTTCTTCTCTGGGAAAAAGCACATTTTCTCTAGAAGATATTCTTAGCTCTCCCTATTATCTATTCCTTCCGTTTTCTCGCAATTTTTGATCTTCCATTTCCTTCCATATTCCCTTTTCACCTCCATTTCTTCTCTTCTCCGGATTTCTGGTCCTTTGGGAGTCATCGTCTCCGGATTAGAAGCGATGAGCATTTCTCCCATGTGCAACATATTCTTGCTCCTCAAATCACTAATCCCCTCTATTTCTTCTTCTTATCTGCGTCTCCATATATTTAATTTTCTTAATGTGTGACGCAGATAGTGAGCTTTTCCCAAGATTTTTGAGCAGAGAAAAATTTAGAGTTTTCTGATTCGTATACAGTCTAGATGTTTTTTATGCTCTCGGAACTCCATTTTCGCCAGTCTTAATCCCCTTCAAACAGAGAATCGAGCACATTTTTAGTCTAGAAAATTCTGATTTTTGATGTATTTCTTCTAGGAACCTGATGAATTTTTTTCAGTGGGGCATACCGTAAACACTCTAATAGAGTGCCTCTGAAACTGTCAACTTTTAGCCTATATATCTCATTTCCTGTGAAAGATATCAAAAAGTTTTCAACTGGCAGAATGTTTTTGATATCATCATAAACATTTCATCAGTTGACAAAATTTTGATATCTTTCACAGAAATCGAGATAAATGGGCTCAAAGTTGACGGTTTAGGTGGCATTTTATTAGAGTGTTTACCGTAATACTGGATAATTCAGGAATGGAACTGGGGATTATTTTATAAGGCATAAAAGTTTAGAAATAGCAAAATAAAATATGAGCCCAGAATTGATCATTTTATGTTCGTTTTGACCTGAAAATGTGTATTTCTGTCTAATTTCTGAAAATCGAAGTTTTAGGATCTTGGATCAAGAAATAACAATTTTTGGGTTGATTCTGAGCAATAATTATCTAGAAATTTAACTGAAAGTGACCGATTTTTTGGGACACTTTAATTCTAAATCGAGAAATGTTCTGAATGCATTTTGGACCTTAAACATTCTAATAGAAGGTCAACCTATACTGCACTTTGAGCTCAATTATCTCAATTTCTATAAAAGATATCAAAATTTTGTCAACTATCAAAATATTGGTGGTAATCATAAACAATTTATAAGTTGACAATTTTTTATATCTTTTACAGAAATCGAGATAATTAATCTTTAATTTTTCTTTCAGGATTAAAAGAAATATGACATTTTTCTAATAGCTAGAAGTTCAAAGTTTGGCGGGAATTCAAAACATTCTGAGTTTCTTTCAAGAAACTTTCAAAAGTGGACCTTTGATGCAATTTTTCTGGAAACTCCCAGAGAGCCGCCTCATACTTCATGAGTTTGCTCTCTAAAATTCCACTTCATTTTTGCTCAATTATTCACATAAACATCACCAAGTTTCACCTTGAAATTCTCCACCCCCACCTTTTTTCATTCCATGTTTCTATTTTCTCAATCTTCTGACAACGACTAGAATATCAGAAACCGCAAGCCTCAAAACGCAGAAATACCTTTTTCTGTGCGTCTCCTAGTCTCCCCACACTATTTTTGCCTTCAATTACATCTGCCAATCAAGGCTCCACAAAACCACAAAACCTCAATCTTTTTTCTTTCTTTCTTTTCCACCTTCATTTCATTTTCCCTTCCCCCTTGTGTGTGCTGTTTTTATATTTTTCCTGTTTTCCGCTTATCCCAGAGCATTCTCTGAAAAAAAAGAAAACAGAGAAATCTCTTTTCTCTTTTTTTCCATATAATCACTTTCCACTTTCCACCTCAAAAACCCAACCATTATCATCGGGAATCGAGAAAATCGACTCCATTTTTCTCGATTTTGGGGTTTTTTCCGGTTTTTTGAAGATTTTTGTTGAGAGGTAAATTTTCTTTTTCGATCAGTGATCATGGAAGTTTTCCTAGCTAATCCAAAGAGAGCTTTTCTGGAAACTCCAGCTTTACTAGAAAATTCATTTGCTAGTCAGATAAGGGGCTGGATTTTGTCATTTATTGTTAGATTTGAGATCCAAAAACTTTGAAACTTTGAATTGAAACATTTTATAAATTCAAGTTGTTGTTAGGTACTCAATTACGCTGGCCAGTTAAAAAGCATTCTTCTCCTGAAATTCAAGAAAATCTGAAGTTTCTTATAGAAATCATAGATCATAGAAATTCGAAAAAAAGCCCCTTGAAAATTCAAAGTTCTGATAGGTTCAAAAATTCTGGAGATCTTTTGTTATGGATTTTTTAACATGAGATCCAAACAGTTTTTTTTGGATTTCAAAGTTTTGAAGGAAAAAATTTGAAAATCCAAACAAAAGTTTAAAATTTTGTAGTTTTCGTGAACATAAAATACCGTAAAACCTGTAATAGAAGGGTTCCCAATACACTGTCAAGCTTGAGCTCAATTATCTTGGTTCCTGTAAAATATATCAAAAAGTGGTCTGATAAAATTTTTGGGATAATATAATGAACATTTTATCAGTGGACACCTTTTTGATTTCTTTTAATGAAACGGAGAAAAATTGGCTCAAAGTTAGGGGACCTATTAGAGGTTTTACGATATTTCAAAAGAAAAAATATTTTTGAAATTTGATAGTTCTCAAATTAGGATCTATCAAACTACAAAAAGTTTTAGATTTTGAAAAATCCGGTAGTTAGAAAATTCAAAAC